CTCCCATCCAGGTTAGCTCATCCCTGGATCAGTGAAAGGTTACCATAGTTACAAGAAGCACCACTGAGGCTAGGAAGCCAGGGCCCAAATAAATTTCTTTCTAAATAAGCTTCATTTTCCCATGAAATCTACACCTGCCAATTGCATTTCCTTTGGAAGATGTATAAAGATTCATCTTCCAAGATGGATTTGGCTCAAAACTCTAGATCTATGATCTCATTAAATCCTTTCTAGTCTTCAGGCAGTAAGTATTGTTACTATCTCCATTTTACAGATAAGAAAACTGAGCTGAAGCAGGTTAACTGACCCAAGGCCACACAGCAAGTGAGTGGTGCTATGATTCAAACCCAGAGCTCACAGTCTTCGGGAGCCACTGTCCCTGTTGATGGGAGGCTCCTGGAACTATACACCAGCCTTGGCCTGGCACCTTCCTTCCTGGAGACTTTGCTGCCTTTCCTTGCCTCGTTTTAGGGCTCTGGACAAGGGCAGCACTGCTCAGTTCCATAGTCTAGTCCCCTATTTCTACTCCGAGAGTAACTTAAGCAACAATCTCTAGGACTTCTAGGTGGGACACTAAAGAAATAAATAGTGTCTTCTAGTTACAGCTTCATCCAAAGCAGAAGGGAGCCATTAAGGGCAGTGACAGGATTCAGCCATTTGAAGCCATGAAACCTGCCCTCCTGCAAACGCACAACTGCACGGGCTTGGCACCACTCAACTGCACAATTCATTGTGCATCTAATTAATGGAATGCAAAACCATAGCCCCCTGCAATCCCACACATCAAAGGATGATACTAACACACCTCCCTCACACACATCAGCAGACTCTCACCATATGACTTCATTTGGGTATTTGGACAAGTTATATAACTGCTCTGTGCTTCAACACCCTAGCTGATAGATAGCAGTGCTTTGGGCTGCAGCTCAAAGCAACGGGGGAGAAATCAAAAAATGAGGTTTTCTGTTTTGTTTTGTTTCCTGGCACTGAAGATTGAACCTATAGCCTTGTGCATTAACCTGGTTATAGATAGGGCACTACAAATCTGTCCTCTAGCCTCAGAAACCAGAATATGCAACATTAGCAAATTGATGTCCCTTCAATGTCCCTAGGACTCCAACCCTAATATACCTGCCCATAATTATAGCTAAGAAATGAAGAGAACTGAATGAGGATTCTTCTGACTCAGACTGATACAAAACCTAGTTTCTGGGTGCTTCATGACATGATTTCATCTCTCCCAAGCCTGTCTGCCTGTCTCCTTCGGAAAGTCACTGGACTCCTGGGAAGTATCAAAGCTTCTTGAGTAGCACATTTCTTCAAAGAAAATCTGGGGGTTCCACATGGGCCAGGGCCTACAAGAGTCTCAAGCAGCCAGCTTCCCTGTGCCCTCAGTCAAAGCTGATCAACCCTTTACAAATATCTCCATGGATATGATTGCTGCAGATACTAATAATGGTGTCCATATTCTAAGTGCCAGTGCCAATAATGTTCTGGGTATTATCTCTGTGAACACCAATAACTACTGCTGAGATTGTGGCCACAAATGCCAGCACCCATTGCAATGATTGTCCTCGCTAATGCCCACCATTGTGTCATTGTTAGAGCTGAAGAATAGTCCATGCTGTACCTAGAGGCAGGAGCCGAAGCAGCTCCTGGAGGGCAGCAAGGTGCCTGGCTTGTCCTCAGGGTATGACACTTCAAGGGAGATGCCAAAGAGCCTGAGGCCGAAGGAGGACCAGTGTGATCAGGGTATCCAGAGTTCTCCTGGAGGGAGATATGCCTGTCCCCCCACTCCCTCTAGGGTCTAGTCCCTGGACATGCATCCGGGGCCTCATTCCAATGCCCTACAGTCCCCCAACTCAGTTTCCCTTTCACCTGCAGTCCTGGGCCAAGAGCTGAAGGACACACCTGGGTGTCTGTGCAGCCTGTGCCCAAGGATCCTCCTGCTACTGGCCTGCCAGCTGCTATGCTACCTTGGCCTGACTGCAGTGTTGGGCTACATCATCTTGACACATAATTATCTCTCCTATTCTTAATCATCTGAGCTGCTCCCTAATGCAAACCAGACCGGCTGCTCGAAGGCCTCTGGAGTGAGAGAAGGGGAAGAGGGATGTTCAGCTTTACCTTTGTTCTCTCCTTTCTTCTCCTATCCCTTCCCACCTGAGTCCTAGGAATAAAAAATAGGGTGGATGGATTGGAAAGTGATTTAGTGGTAGTGTTTGCCTAGCATGCACGAAGCCCTAGGTTCAATTCCTTAGTACCACATAAACAGAAAAAGCCAGAAGTAGCACTGTGGCTCAAGTGGTAGAGCACTAGCCTTGAGCAAAAGAAGCTCAGGGACAGTGCCCAGGCCCTGAGGCCAAGCCCTATGACTGACAAAAAAAATGGGGGGGAGGTGCAGGTACTAAGAGAAAGCTGGTTTCCTCCCAAACCTGATCTCCAGGGAATAGAAGTTCAGCTCCTTCATGCCTGAGGCTGGCTAAGAGGAGAGAAAGGGCAGGAGAAATCCTCCCCCACACACACACACACACACACACACACACACACACACACACACACACACACACACACACACACACACACACACACACAGTGCCTGGAGATTCTTGCCTCTTGCTGAGATCCATCAGGTAAATATTTAAGAGGAAACTCTGAGGCCCCACACTGTTCTTCACCTGAAGATTTCAACCGCTTCCTACACTGTCTGCCTGCTGACATCACTGTCACACTGCTGAGCCCCTCCACCCAGCCCTGCTCCTGTCCCTTCCTGCTCAGACTCCTTCAGGCCTACCCCTTCCTTCAAAAACAAGCCCACCCTTCTTACTTGTCCCAGTACTGGCATATAGCCTGTGACCTTTACCATCTACCTGGCCTTGTCTCACGCCCCTCTCCCTCTTTGATGACAAAGCCACTCCGACTTTGTTGCCCCAGAGCCTCTGGTCACAAGACCTACTTTATGAGGAAGACTTCCAGGCTATTGTCTTTAAGACTCCCCTCAATTATTACCTAGCCCCTTCTCAAAGAGCAGATCTTCCTGGCAGGGCGCTGGCCCTTCTCCCACCCTTCTTCCCATGCCATCTCCCAGGGCCCAGCAAGACCTCCACTGCACACCACATCTGATAGCCTTCAGGCTCTCTGCTCTCAGTGTTTTCTGAACCCTGATAGAATGTAAGCTCCTTAAGGATAAGAATCATATCTTGTTCTGCTTGGGGACCCTCTATATCTAGCCTTTCTTGTAACTGGTGTGTAAGAAATTCGTTGAATTGAATTGGCTCGAAACAATGAATGGGAACTGCTCAGAGAAGAGATTACTCTGTTCTGTGCCTGCCTTGCCCCACCCCTGGATGGCCACAGCCTCAGGCCAGTACTTCTCTACCCTCGGCATCCCTTCACAGCTCATCGGAACCCAAGTAGCAGAGGGCAGGCAAACCCCCATCTGCAAGCCAACCAAAGAGAGAACAGAGAGGCTTCAGTGGCCTCTCCAATCTCTTGGATATCTCATACACTGAACAAGGCAGGTGGCTAAAGAGAAACCCTTAGGGTTTGAAGCAGACTCTACCAAAGCATCCAGGGTGCCAGGGAGCTTGGCTAAGGCCTGAGTATGGGAAACCCAGGGAGATCTGGGACTCAGGGCTGTTCACTCGGCCTCCCTTTGCCCATCAGGGGCTGCCGCCAAAACAACCACAATGAAATTTAGTGAGTGGCAAAGGCCGTGGCAGCCAAATGGGTTTGGATATTTTGGAAGAAGGAGAAATAGAGCCAGACAAGCTGTTTCCCTGTGAAACGAGGCCATTAGGGCTTCTGGAAGGAAGCCAGCACCAGGTCATCACTGTCTTGCCAGGCCCAGGCCTCTCCTATACACTCTGGCCCTTCTGCTAGAGGCCAGGGCTCTCATACTCTCTTCTCTCTGCCTGGGCCTGGAGAATATAGACTGTGGCCCAGAGAGACTGTGTCCCTCTCCTCTTGTTCTTTATCAAGTGGCTCCCATCAAAGACCTGTCTATGTTTAGGGTGACCACAGAAGCTATTGTCCAAATGGGACATTCTTGAGAGACAAAGAAGAGGCTGATTGGCAGAGATGCAGAGAAAACAGGCATAAATTGGAACTGGCCTGGGCTGGTGCGAAATATGGTCACCCCTCGCCCCTTACGCTGATCTTTGGAGGATTCTGTAGAGGTCATGGAAGATAGCTATAAAATCCTATACTCTGAAAATCCAGGAGGCTACCACTTCCCTGGCTGAGACTGAGAGAACTGGAGCAGGAAGCAGGGTCTGAGACACTGGTGTCTGTTTGCCTGCCCTGACAGCTCTGTACACTGGCCTCATGTGCCAGAAGAGAACCAGATGGTCACCAAAGGACCCCTAGTGCTGGTGTATTTGAGAAAGCACCTTGTACCAAGTTCATCCCCATCACTGTCCCCTTATTTTCTTTCTTCCCATCTCCTCTTCATTCCTCATTCCCTTTAATTCATAGCTTAATAACTTGGCTAGGCCTTGAGGGCTGCAGTGGAAGAAGGAGATGGGCCAGTGGGGAACCGGAGTGACATCCACTCTCATGGAGAGTCCAGCTCCATGAGGGCGGAGGAAAAAACAAAACCCACAGCCAGTATACATGACATCACCCAGTACCTTCCAATGGGTTGGGATCAAGTGAGGACAAAGTCAGTTGGCCTTTCATCCTTGGTCACAGACCAGCTGTCCTCACAACCTCCTAAGGTAAAAGGTTCACATGTCTCCTCCTGGCATCCCATAGGGAGAGATGGGGTGGGTCTCAGCAGAAGGTGAAGCCCTTAGGGCTGAGCAGATGGTGAAGCTAGTGGCCCCACCAGCAGCCTCCCTCCCACTCTCCAGGAGCCAGCCGGGCAGTGGGGGCACCTGGGCTTTGCAACTAAAACTGATCTCACAACAGAGCAGCTGCAAGGCCAGGCAGAAACCGGAGCTCTGAGTCCAAGGACAAAGCACGCAGAGGGGAAGCCAAACCTCTTCCCTCCTCCCTACCTTCATCACGTTTCCTCTTCTCACCATTGGAGCGAGGTATCCCTAGGATCCCATTGATGGAGTAGGATCCCACTGGGTCATTGGAGGCGCTGGAAACAGGAGGGGAGGCAGTGCTGGGAACTGGACAAGAAGAAGAAGGAAATGCCATCAGGGTAACAGGTGTGAGCTCAGGCCAAAGCCCCACGGCCGGGGGAAGAAAGAAGCAGAGGACAGAAGGAGGGATGCGGAGCCTAGATTCCCCTTCTTCCTGAGGCTGAAGGGAGGAAACATCGACTTGCTCAGTTTAGGCTGTTATTCCTTCTGTTTAGCCCATACAAAGTAGTGACCAGTCAACTCAGGCTTCTGTAACCTATGGGTTTCATTAGATCCTGGAGCACCTTCTCTGTAGATAGACTGTGTATAGGCCCAGGAAACCCTAAGGTTGGTTTCGTTTAGAAAGTACTTTGATGGCTTTCTAGGGAGCATGAGTCTTAGAATACCTTCTGGAATAGCACATCCAATTCGGGTCTGGGCAAATTCTTCCCCCCTCAAATCCCAGCTCATCATTCCTTTCTCCTGAGCAGAGTTTTTACCAGCTACTATTTGGAGCCTATAGCTCTGTGATAATTCTGTTTCTGACTCTGGGAATCTCAAAGCTTGTTCTAATACTTCTCAGAAGCATACAGTTTCTCTCTCCCCCCTCCCCCCTCAGTTGCTTTTGGTCTTGAAACCACTTAAAAAGTTCCTAAATTCCCCCTCAGGGGACAGACTATGACCCCATTCACTCTGCCATGGTGAGCTCAGGTACAGCCTGGTCCAACCCTCCCTCCCAGCACACGCTGTTACCTAGGCCTGGCAAACAAAGGCTCCTGCCAACTCCAGGAGGGCTGGGACCAGCCATTTCTACTTCCTGTTGGTCAAGAGAGAAGGGGATAGCTGCCAAGAGCAGTAGTAAGACAAATGTAATTGCATCCCATTTCTTTGGACTCCAGGCCTCATCTATGGTGACAATAGCATGAAGCACCAAGAGCCAAAGATCAGTTAGTGTGTGTGTGCATGGTGATGGAAAAGTGTGCCAGCCGGTGTGCTGGCAGGCCTGGGACATGCCTTTGAAAGACCCTGAGTATGAGTCAAGAACTGAGATAGGAAGGTTGGAGAGAGGCAAAAGGCTACATCATGGATGAAGCAGAGACAAAGAAATCAGGAGAAACCATGCCCTGTGGCTCATGCCTGTATACCTAGTGAATCAGGAGGCTGAGGATCATGGTTCAAAGCCAGCCCAGGGAAGGAAAAAATCTGTGAGACTCTTATCTCCAATTAACCACCAGAAAACTGGAAGTGGCTTTGTGGCTCAAAGTAGTAGAGCTCTAACCTTGAGCAAAAAGAGCTCAAGGACAGTGCCTAGGCCCTGAGTTCAAGCCCCAGGACTGACAAAAAGAAAAAGAAAGAACGAAAGAAAAGAAATCAGGAGAAACAGGCCAAAGGAAGAGAGACCATGAGGAAGGAAGAATGGAAACAGGGATAGATCCAGAGCCACACATACAAGAAGAGGAGGGGAGAGGAAGAAGAGAAAAGGGTTGGCAGGGGAGGTAGAGAAGAGTGAGTGGAGAAAGAAGAAAGGGAGGGGAGGGAGATGACCGAGAGAAAGGGAGGGAAAGGATGCAGAGGAGGGGTGGGGAGAGAAGGGAACAAAGAGTAGAAAGAAGACCGAGGTGGGATAATTTGAAACAGAAATGGCGTAAGAAAGTAGCTATGAAAGAAAGAAGAATATACAGAATTAAAAATTTAAAATATGATAGAGCAAAAGAAAGAAGGGTAAAAAGAAGAATTACTAAAAATAAAAATAAGTTAGAGAGAGACAATAAAGACTAAGATAAATCAGAGGATGGGTGGGAGGATCTCAGGGAGACTCTGGGCCTCTAGGAACTCAGGAATAGGAGGAAACATGGTGTGGGAAACAGGGCAGACCCTAGAGGCCATTGAAATGGGCAGCTCCCAGAACTGGTCTGTATCTTGGCTTTTCTGGGCCAGCTTGTCTTTCCCTCCTCCCCGAGCCCTCTTACCGATGGTGTGACCAGGAGCAGTCACTCCTGTCCCTGCCCCGTCCGGCGTTGGGTGGAAAGGCTGCTGAACTTTGGTCCGGATGATCCTGCAACAGCATCACAACAGTATCACACATCACACTGCCCTGGCCAGTACCCTACCAGGCTCCTCAGCTTCATCCTCATCCCTTGAGTTTTTGGTAGCAAAGATGGGGGAGAGGGAACAACTGCTCTGGTGGCTGGTTGCCCACCTTTCTTTTCCCTCCTCAATTTGACATTTTCTGGTACCAGGACCTCCTGTGGCTGGACATCATTTTGGAGCTAGTTTTATAACTGGGATCTTATCATAGTCCTCCAGATTTGAAAAGAGGGTGCTTTTCCAATACCCCAAACTAAGGAAAGTAGAGAGGGAAGTGCTAGGCCACTGGATCTTAAGCCAAGCTCACCTCAACCAACTAGGTGAGTTATAAGTCATGAGCCAATTCAGCTTTAATCAGCTTTTGCTGAACACTTGCAAGCTGTAGGAATGAGACCCTTGCCTTCCAGTGTTTTAAAATAGTAGTCTGGACTGGAAATGTGGTTTAGTGATAGAGTGCTTGCCTAGCATGCATGAAACCCTGGGTTTGATTCCCCCTTACCACATAAACAGAAAAAGCCAGAAGTGGCACTGTGGCTCAAGTGGTAGAGCACTAGCCTTGAGCACCGAGAGGCTCTGGGACAGTGTCCAGTCCCTGAGTATAAGTCCCAGGACTGGCAAAAAACAAAAACAAAAACAACCTAATCTGTCATGACAATGGCAACCTGAAGACTGAATGAAGGTATGTGTGTATAAGAAAAAGCACACACTTGGGTATCTGGATAGTTATTAGTGACACAGGGGAGAAAAGTGTCATCCTAGAGGCTGAAGCAGGAACCAGGCAGAGCAGGGTTAGAGAGCATCTGGAACCAGGAGACAACAAAATAGCCAGCTGCATGGAAAGTGGAGAACAGATCTGGCTGTGGAACGTACAGAGAGTGTTTCAGTACAAGAACAATCATCTGGATACTTTTGTGGGCTGAAGGAAAAATCCATGCAGAGGGAAAGCCTGAGGCTGCCAAAGAGACTGGAGACAGAGCAGGGCAGCGCAAGGGGGGAGTGGAGCAGAGGGCTAGCCAAGCACAGCAAAGCTCTGAAAAGGAGTTTTATGGCTGTTTGCTCTCAGTAAAACAGAAGTTAGGTAATCTCTGAAGAGTTGGGGAGAAGCCTGATTACTGTGGGAAAAAATCAGACAGTAGTTGAGAATGGTGTAGGCTCATCGACAGGAAAATTCTAGAAGGATGTTAGGCATCTCAGAAGTTGCTGCTCCTGATTTGGGACAGTACAAACTTCTAGGGTGCTGCAGGGCCTGTGGTAGCTCTGTGTGGGCCAGTGGGCTCTGGATGAAGGAGGCCAGGGAAAGGGCTGGGAGAGACAGATAACTGGACAGGCTGGTGGAGTTTCTGTCTTTGTTACCCAGGGTCCTTTGACCCCTGGGTTACTGGTACAGATTTAGCTGAGGAAGCAAGTGATGGAAAATCACTACACCCTGACAGCAGCTTGGTGGTGCATGGGAGAAGAGTTGGGCAGAGTGCCTGCTACGTTACTAATGCCATTGGTATCCATTCACGACCTCAGACAATGGGGCCTAGCCAGAGCTAAATGGAGAATTTAAGAACAAGAGTCATGGACACCTGATGGTCATCCAGTGCCCATCCCATATACAACCAAACAATGTGTGGAAAATGGCCCTAGGGGTTAAAGCATAAACCAATGGCTTAGGATGACTCCTTGGGGCATTTTCCCACGTTCCTCCTACTCCATCTCGAACTATTTTTCAATCTTGGCCCCACAAGTCAGCCAGACACATCTGTATTCTCTATAGCCTGGAAGGCCTGGAAGGCCAGATCCCCATGAGAGCATGAGAAAACATGGTATTGCTCCCTACTTCCCAGTAGATTTTCCCACCCAGGATGCTCTTTCTTCACTCATTTCAGGTGAAAGCTTGGCCTTCCTTGGGCTTTGGCCTATACCCAGCATGGAATCTCAAGCTCTTAGGGTCTCACATTCATAAGAGTATACCCTTGCATAGCAATAGGTTCCATGCTCAGCCTGCCTGAGCTAGAATCTCAACTCCATGACATACTGCCTGCAAAACCTTGGCAATTTCTTTTTCTCTTCTCTGTAAAATCAGGTAATATGATTATGTACTTTTCAGGCTTGAACTGAGTATTAAGTAGAATAATCCACATAAAGTGATTAGAATGATGATTGGCTCAATAAGTGCTAGCTATAATAATAATGTCCACTAGTATTATTATTCCTATAGGCAACTCCTAGTCATGGTTGCTTTCATTTAAGGCTGAGCTGGAGGAAGGCAGGAGGCCTCCCTACTTAATATGCCCCAGCCTTGTAGATACATATGCTATTGAGACCCTTGGAAGAGCATGGAAAAGATAGGAAACAGCTATAGCAGGGGTTAAAGGATAACCCCCAAAAGAGGCTGCATTAGAAAGAATCCCAAGAAGACAGACTGGGTTCTGGATCACATGTAGGGACACGAGGACGAATTCTAGAGAATCTAGGAGGTGGCAGGAGGTGGGGGTACAGGTGTGTGGTAGGGCTTTAAAGGATGATAAGACTGGTAGTGAGGTCAATTCTTCTTCAGTTAAAAATCCCAGGAAGGCTCTACCTCCATTACCTTGGAGACCGAAACATGTTCACTGCCTCTGTAAATTTGAGTGGAAGGCCTCAGCAACAGTCTTTCAAACTTGTGAAGACAGAACAGAGACGGGGTCTCAAACCATTCAAGATAGCTCAGGGAAGACTCGCTTCATCTCTATTTGCACCCTTTTTTTCTTCTTCCTCTCATGGTTTACTTCTTTGTCTCTCCCTCTCCATCTTTTTCTGCCCTTCTCTCCATCTCCCTCTCTTTGTCCATCTGTCCATCTCCTTGCACCCTGAAGTCCCACTGTGGCTGTGTGAGTTTATTGATTTCTGGGAGCTGGGGGAAAGCAAGAGGCAGGGCTGGGGTGCAGTCTCCAGGATGGAAATAGAAGGCTATAAATTATTTGTGACAGGAAAGCAATAGTGGCAGAGTGCTGAGCACAAGTCCTGTGTCACTATTAGATTCCTTTTAGCCTGATGACACTGTAAAAAAGGTTAAGTGTCTGCTGGAATCGTACACCTGGGGGGCCGGGGCAGCCTGGGAGCAGAACAAGCCAGTGAGAGCAGGTATATCAATTCTCCAGGCCAATAATATTCCTCTCATTGATCGCCACGCAAAGTTCAAAAATCTCATTACAGCCAGGCAGACCGGGAACTTTTTACAAATCAATACAATGATATAATGTATGTATACTTAGTACAAATGTATCTATTCATCTATCCATCCATCCACGGTCTGCCTCAGGGTTTCCAAGTTAACCTACCCATCATATTATGTTATGTTATGTATGATATTATATTGTCTCACATTATATGATAATAAATGGTGTGCAAAAACTTTCCCTGAGGTAGAAACAAGAAGAGGTCCTATTAGCATTGAGGTGACCTCAGACATCTCACCTTGGAGGGAATGAGGTGACAGCATTTCCAAGATTAGTCTGACCAGGACTCCAAGGAGCTATGATTCTTCAACAGAGGCTCCAGTCATAAAACCTACTGTCTACTAAGTATTTCCTATGTGCTAGACAATGTTCTATTTGTATTTTGTATAAGTAGTTCATTTAATCTTTACATCACCCATTTTACAGTCAGGGCATACTATAATTTGCTTACCATCATCCATTTATCAATCTGACAGTTGAATTTAAGTAGACTAACTTTAGGCCTCATACCTTCACTCACTGAACTACACTACTTTCAAAAGCAGACACTCAAAAGTCCAGAATTCAAACTCCTGGATTCTAGCCTCAGTCCCATGTTCTGAGAGATGCAGGGTAAGGCTCTCTTTCAAGCATCAGAATTTCTCACTGGAGAATGGGAATAATGATATTGGCTGGAACCAGCCAAGAACAATATGTGTATATGATATCTCCAAGCATGTACCCATGAGATCCTGCCTAGCTGCCTGGAACAAACTGTCTTCCCAACTTGGTAATTACCTCTCAGAAGAACAGAAAGAATGGGCTACCTCAAATTGTTTATATCACTGGTTTGCTCAAAGGGCCATGGGAGCAAAATGTCAAGAATCTACATGCACCTGCTATATACATGTATACATCATATAAAGCAGCTTATTCTAGAGTAGACAGTCTACTTCAAGGTCTAAAAGCAAAAAATTTAAAGCTATGGCAAGGGGAAAAATCCTTCCTGGTTTGGAAAAATTAAAGAAACTCTCAGATACAGAATGTTTCAGCCTAGCTGGCCCTATTGCCACTGAGCCAGACAGGTGGTAGGCGGGACCTCTGCCAATGACTTCAAGCTGCTTGAGTGTTCTACACTGGATCATTCTAAAACTATATTTGCTCCAGCAAAGGATATTCTACCCTCTGAATACAGGTAACTGATTCAACTTGAATCTTTGAGAGCTGCCTTTATCAGGACTGTATGCTTGGCTTGGCCCTGAGGCAAGTGAGCAAACAGCTAGAGACTTTCCATAGCAAATCGTCAGTGAGATGTCGTAGATCACCCAGGAAGTCTTTATGTTTCCTGAAAGTGGTGCCTATTCCTGAGAACTCTAAGAAACTGGAATCTTCCCCTCGTATATAGTATATACTGTTTCTATAGGAAACAGTAGTCATTCTACACATGACCTCCCTGTAGTATAGGGATATTGTCCAGGCTTATTCACAGACCCGGCAGGTTTTGGTTTGGAACAACTGACCATATGTCAGGGTTCTGTGAAGAAGCATGCCACCTATGAGAACCTGGCTACTCTTGAGAGCTGGGGGCAGGCTCTTCCATTCTGGATTTAGCTGGACACGCAAGTTCCAGGTTACCAGGGCTCTTCCCAAATGTGTCAAAAGCTTCTGTCTTTTTGCCACTTCTCAGAAGTCATAATTAAATATCAAGAAATGAAAGCTCTACCAAAAAGCTTGCAGAAGGATATCCCCAAACTATGGTCCTTGAATTAGCTGCATTAGAACC